GTGCCTACTCGTTGCGTCTTTCATACTGTCAGGGCAGTGAAAAGAGCAGATTCTGCGTGATTTCGGGGATATTTCACACATCCAACCACGTTTTACATTTCCTACACGAGTCCTAGCCTCGGTTGATTTTAGTCAACAGAGAAACGGAGTGTGCAGGGGAGCACGTTATATTGGACTTGCGATCAGGCCTTGATTTCATAACCGCCAATTTTTTTTCACTTACCCGTGGTCATAGTGTAACGACGTCAGCGTCTACAGCGCCAGTTGTTTTTTTTTCTACTTCTCAGGTTCCAAAGTTGTCACCCAGATGGACCCTATGTTTGGGGCGCGTCATATGCTAATGATTTTCTAAACGACTACTGAGAGATGTTTCTTTCTAGGAGACTTTTTCTTATAATCATAGCTTGCCGTGCTTATGATGATGTCATGGGCGATTACGTAGTGCGCTTCATATGACAGCTGTTAAGTTTGTTGTGGTTGCTCTATTTCGCAATGCGGAACATTTTAGTTTATGTGGGACATTTATTTTTTCGTATAGAAATTGGTGCACCCATCCCGGAGCTTCTACATCTTGGCGTTCACATCATCTGACTGACTCATACCGTTTCTTCACACCTTCCAGCACTAAGTATCCTTCCTTAATCGGATACGACATGTGGCTTACAGTAGCGTTCTTCCACGAAGCAGTTTTTTTGCAATCTTGCCCCCAGACAACCACGCCCCTTTACCGCTACACAGTCACGATTGCGATATATTATGATTCCGAATGGAGGTAGAGTGCGTGCCGCATCCCAAAAAGGGATTAATCAACGGGGAAGACTTTATCCTTATCTGAATGATCAGAGCGCATCAACTTTGAAAAAGACCGTGTTCTCAGAGATTGAGGTCTTCCCTTCTGAACTTTAAATCTTCACCTTTCTTGATCTTCACCCGTGATCTGCATCACATTGTTTTTCTGCATTCGAGTCTGTTTTCTGGAAGTTTATGTTTTTGGATGTTTATAACTTACTTTTTGGTTGTGTTTTCAGAATGCATTTGGTAAATGGGGTGGGAGCGTGGGGTGGTTTCGGATGTAATCTTCAGCTTGGCCCATCGCAGCGGCGTAGTGGTGAGTAAAAAGTTTTGATACTGAACTGGTTTCACAGTAAATCTGCCACTAATATGTGGCATTCAAACTTTTCTGACTGATTCGAAATATAGATATTCCTGGATTGTTAATATTTGCACATAGTTACACATGTACTGTTTTAGTCGTGAGAAGATCTACTGTTCATCTCAGTCGTCCAAATTCGTATTTGGCTGTAATTAACGAAATTGGCAAAGATCATATAGCGGATATCTTGGGTACCATTTTTTCCCTATCTATCTAAAGCTATTCGTGCTGTAAGCAGCTTCATTCGTGATTTTTTTTCTAGATCGTCCATTACCATTCGTATGTCGCCGCGCTGTTCGTCGCGATCGTTTTCATATCACTCTTAATGGTCAAGTCACAGTTTCCATTGTTCCCAGTACGGGAAGGATGTGTAAGTTGATGATTATCGGTTCATTATTCTTGCTATTTTGGCTTGATGTTTATTGCGCAATAGCTACACAAGTTCGTGATGTTTCGAATTTTCACTCTGATGGAACCACATTTTCTGTGGTATAAGACGCATTTATTAGCAAAGTCGCGGAGACGCATTCGACGACGCAAGAAAAAACTCATATGCTTGGCAGCAGCTTCCTTTTGGATGCCGCCCGCTCGCGATGGAACCACATCCCCACCCAGTGGCCACGGCGCCCCCCAAACTTTATTTTTTCAAGTTATCCTGGTGGTGCAAGTGTTCCGCTACTTGTCCTCTCCATTCGAATAATGATAGTCAGGTGATTAGGAGAAAGAGCTGGCACCAATAATGAGCACTCGTCCGACCACGCCCCTTTTCTGTCTTTTGCACGTGCAAGCGCGTTCCAGCAGGGGACCTAAATTTCAAGCGGGTTTTGACGTTTTTTCTTCACATTTGTCACGTTCCTATTCATAAGTATTTGTGCCGTATGACTCACCATTTTCCAACACGAAGCGTGGCTTTGAAACATGCAACCGGCTTGAGACATGAGACAAAAAACATATTGTTTTGAGCAGAACCTTTGCAACGGCTTGTCTTGTACAAGGGTACTCCTTTCTGCGGGTGATCGTCATCAAATAGAAAATAGGACTAAATTCAATGGGGCTGAAGAAAGGGGGAGGGTACGCGGCGAGACCAAGCTGCGCTGCTTTGATCGTCTGCGATAGCGAGAGCTGACCCTGTAGGATGTGGATCATTACCCTGCTGCAAGATAGATAAGCAGATTTTAGCCTCCAATTTGAAACCTATTTTGAAGTGTCGTTTTTC